AGCTCTCTGAATGCAAACCAGGCTTTTAAAATACTTTTGAGCAAACTTTTCAAGCAAGCAAAACTACAGAAAGTAATCTTGTCGTCAAATAGATGCGTTGAATTTCTTTTTTTCTCATTTTTTCTGGGATTACTGCCAGGGATGGTTAGTCATTACACTGAATACTCCATCCATCCATCCATCCATCCATCCATCCATCCATCCATCTTCGTCCACTTATTTAACAGAAGTTTGAAAAAATCATAACAGAAGCATTTTGACAATGTCTCTAGAAATAAAAAGCAGCAAACATTGAGTTATATTCTTAAATGTGCTCTGGACTAGACATTTATCATATCTTGAAAATCATCTCAATACCTACAAACAAGATACTTACAGTACACTGCTGGCATGGTCTGAATCTAAGATCATAGTTTCCTTCAATATTTGTGATTTATTTTTTACAGATATACTATAAAATCTTTCTCTTTTTCCATCGTATACTACATTTTATTTGCAGCTTTCAAAGCCATTATACCATCCATTCAAATCAAATCAAATCAAAATTTATTTATATAGCACATATTAAAACAACAGTGTTGACCATAGTGCTTCACAGTCAGTAAAAACACGAGACAATTAAAACAAACAATAAAACAGGACAACAAACAATAGGTAACAACACAATAACCTAAAACAGCCAACTGGTTAGAATCAAAAGCCAAAGTAAAAAGATACGTTTTAAGACGTGATTTAAAAGACTGGATAGACTCGGCAGTACGAATATGTACAGGGAGGTTATTCCAGAATCTGGGTGCCACGGTTGCAAAGGCCCGGTCTCCTCTCGACTTCATTCGAGACCTAGGTTGTGCAAGGAGCATGTGATTGGATGATCTAAGTGCTCTGTTGGGATTGTATAAGTGGAGTAGTTCAGAGAGATAGGCGGGCGCTAAATTATTTAGAATTTTAAAAGTGAACAAAAGAATTTTAAAATCTATGCGATATTTAACAGGGAGCCAATGTAGTTTGGCTAAAATTGGAGTTATGTGTTCATTCAGTTTAAAAACCTGATATGTGGTTGGAAATCATTGATTGAGATCAGTCCATTGTGTATGATTAAGCCTGTGTTGCACAATCAGGTGTTCTACTCACACCTTCTTACCTATAGGCAGGTCCAAACAGCTGCTGAAAGAAATTTGATAGATTAAAAGTTATTTTGTCTGGTTGTTATGTTACTTTTATTCAGTCATATCACAAGTTACAGTTAGGCCAGTGGCATGTGACTTCCCTTATCCTGCGGGAGAAATTATTCATAACACGCACACAAACAATCACACGCAGACACACACACACATACGCACACAAGCACACACACATTTATTCAACCGTCCATCCCAATCTAATCCTCTGATTTGACTCCTCTCTGCAGTCTGAGCTGCCCATGTTTTCATTGTAGTCATGGGCTATGACTCATCGTGCGTCTGAGCCAAGCTATTTGCGCTGGTTCACACTGGCTGACACACCTAGAGCCAGGAAACACACCCATTCCCACATATCCTTGTATTCAAGTGAGTGATCTGCAACAAAACAGTGATACACAGAGGACATTGACTTTGCAAGAGCATGGAAGATATTTAGCACATTTCACAATTATCCAGTTTGAACAGTCCACATTTGAGTTATCCCAGAGCTAACTGACTGCTCTGCTTATCTTTGTCTCCCTCTGACCTGCTGCAGTGAGTTCATTTAGAATAAAAGCAGATATATTTATAAGAAATTTATATGTGAACACCTGTATTATAGATAAACGTCATGAGTATCTGAAAAAATAACCAATGATATGATTTACTGATGAGTTATTAAATAACTGTAAACATTTAACTCCTACTGAAAAGTTTGTGAGCAGTGCATCGTTTTTGACAGGAGTAATGCTGATTGCTAGCAGACACATAACAGGAGTTGTCTGTCTGGAATCAGCATTTTCTGGTAGCTAAGACTGTTCTTTAAAGGCCACACCCCGTTGGCAAGAAAGGGAATCAAATAGGCGCTGTACTTCGAAAGTGGGTGAAATCTTATTCTGTTCAAGTTAAAACGTTAAATTCTGTGGAAAATACTATAAGCACTAGATGATTGCTTTAGTAGTTGTGCACTTATACACACAGTATACTTTAAACACTAAAGTAACGTTTTTCTTTTTGAAACTTTTGAAAAAAACTTTTTTGAAACTTCCCCTGAACATTTTTAAACACTGTTCCATCCCAAAGAGTAAAGCTTTACCCCACTTTATACACAGTTCTTTAGGATCTCTGCATGTCTTGCACATGTTTGGTGTTATTTCTCCACTTTTATCTCAGTGTGCTCACAATTACAGACATCTACACACGTCTGCGCACAAACAGCGGGCCTTCTTTTTTGTGGGAGAGCTGCACCCTGTTTTCGCAACAAAACAAAATCTGAGATCTCCTGACTCAAAGTTTCTAGTGTAGTAACATTAAAATATGCGTGTGTGCGCGCACAAGCACAAGCGTGTGAGTACCACTCCCTGGTTCACTCCCAACAAAAACAACACAGTAACTTCCTCTGTATGTAATCTATTCCTTGCATGTTGCCTTCATCTCGCTGAGTATGGGTGTGGCATATTGAGAAGGACACTGCAGGAATTTCAAAGACACTAGACACTGTTGTGAGAAGGGGAGACGCACATGTGTACACTTAAAACACACATGTGCATCCACAACCCACATATGAATTCTATTTTCAAAACTGGATGCACACATATACTCCCCCTAAAAAACCCAAACAAAAAATCCCATCCATCCATTTTCTTCCGCTTATCTGGGGCGGGGTCACGGGGGCAGCAGCCCAAGCAGAGAAGCCCAGACCTCCCTCTCCCCAGCCACCTCCTCCAGCTTGTCCGTGGAAACAGCAAGGTGTTCCCAGGCTAGCCGAGAGATATAATCTCTCCAGCGTGTCCTGGGTCTGCCCTGGGGCCTCCTCCCTGCCTCCTGTCCTCCGTGAATCGCTACCTTATTGTGGTGGATCACAGGGGCTATGTTGTCTGGGGGCTTTTGCCCCCTGGTAGGGTCTCCCATGACAAATTGGTCCTGGGTGAGGGACAAGACAAGGCCTGGGGAGGGTACCCGAGGGCGAGCGTCTGGTGGCTGGGCCTTAGTCCATGGGGCCCGGCCGGGCACAGCCTGAAAAAGGGACATGGACCCATCTTCCTGCAGGCCCAACACCCGCAGGAGGCACCGTAGCCGTGTGGCGGCCAGGAGTTGAGGTCCTGACGGAGGTCCCCAGCTACCAAGACTGGCAAAAAATCCACAACTCTCCAAAATTACTGTTACTGATATAAGCATGTGGCACAAAATATCCATAGCTATATACAGCTATGCTAGATGGTAAAAGCAGCCAAGAGTAATAAGATAAGATAAGATAAAATAACCTTTATTAGTCTCACACGTGGGAAATTTGTTTTGTCTAGCAGAAAGTGAACAGTGCAAAGTTATATATAGTTGTATATAAAATTAGAGAACACTGGAATACAATAAGAATAAGATACTGTACACAACTGTACAGAATAGAATAGAATGGAATAGAATAAAATACTATGTACAATAGAATGAAATGAAATAAAATTATATATACAATAGGATAAAAATAAAAATAATGGATAAGTGATGGTAAAGGTTAGCTTGTGGTGAGCTACAAGAAACCAGCACACACGTTATAAATTCTGCTCTGCTAAACACTGTAGTAACAGCTTTCACACTTGCATTAGTAGCGTTAGGAACGCCCAAATAAACATGTCCTTGAGGGGAGTACTTAAGTTCATTTAACAAAGCTGCTGGTGTACACTGGGAACAAAAATGGATGGGAATACCTTTTTTTAAAACATAGTGTTAGTCATGGCTTATCAGATGTTCTCATCTATAAGCCTGTTGGTGACACAGCCATACCCATAATCCCAGTATGATTTGTCAGAGGAACCGCCCAGTGACTCTCGTAACAAGCTATCATGCCATCGCTTTGCGTGTCTGCATACCACATTGAAACATTTCATAGCTATGATCATTTAGAATGTTTTGGTTTTAATTCATAACGTTCAGTGTTTGGCTTTGCAGTACTTTTAACACAGTGGGATGTAAAAGAAGTACTCTGACATTAATCTAGGACTTTAAGCTTAACATTAGCAGTTTCACTCTAAAAATAAACTTTCATGTGACACACTCAACATACAGCACACAGACAATTACAGCAATGACTACTGCAACTACAGTTTTCAGCGTATGAAAGTGAGCTAAAAACAACAACAACCTGTGTAAAGCACAGTGAAAATGTGGAATACATTTTAATGTCCAAATTAGATGCAAAAATTATTTAATATAAATTATATTGCTACTGCAGTTCACTAGCACAGGGTGGGCCCCATTAAAGCGACAGACTTCTGTAAATCCTGTCTTGTAAATAGACACCTTGCCTTTTGTGTTTAACTAAAGGCCGTCCTCCCGAACCATTTTGGTAATGATAGCTTTGTGTCAGTTTATGTGCGGCAGTGTAAATGTTTTAATAACATGTTGATGTCATTGTCTGTCATGATAACCATTTTGTGGAGTGCATCTCTTCTTCTCTGTGTACTTCATTGTTATACTGTAGAACAAAAACTGAAGTGGGCAAAAAACTGTTTTAAACAGAAAAATCATGATAAAAACAGTACAAGTTTCTTGCCTGAGTAATTTGTTACATAGTGCTGATTACATTCGGATAACAAGAGTTTGAAAACCTGACATTTAAGTGTTGAAAGTTCTTTTTTTCAAGCAGAGCTCACTTTTCCTGTTGCATGTCATTGCAACCCTCTTTGTGAAGCAGTGGGTGGTCCCATGAACACTAAGGACCACTCCCCGTACACGGGTCCCCTCCCCTGGATTCCCCTCCCTCTGCTAACCAGGAGCCCAGCCCAGCTCCCTGTCCAACCACTCTGCTCAGCCCAGACTAGCAGCCACTCAGAAAAAAAGAGGTTAAAATCAACTCAGAACGGTGGAGGGAGGGAGAGAGAGGGGGCAGAAAACGCCCTGGAAATCTGGTTGATCAAGAAATCGAAAAAGACTGACAGAGTCCTAGCAGACTGCGAAGGCGTGACAGTGTGAAAGTGTTTTTCTTGGAGTGAGGAGAAGTGGAGAAGTTTTCAAGGATGCTCAAGCAGGCGTGAGGCTTCTAGGGCGCTAAGGCTGCGCACAGGTAAAGCTGCACACTTTTTTATTTTCTTTAATTGAAGTTAAAAGTTGTTTTTTTAAACTGTTCTTTCGGTTTCTGAACTTTAACAACTCTGCTGCAAGACAACAAATCAGTCGTTCCAACTTGGCCAGAGTTTAAATAACTAACTTGCAAAGGCGTCACAGTTATCTGTCCAGCATTCTTGTTCATAGCACCAGGCACTTGCAGTGAGCGTGTTTATCACTGTAAGATTATTATGAGTTGTTTTATATGACTAGAAAACTTGTCTCCAGAGTTTTTCCAAGGACTTTTTATTTTCCCCTAAGGGAATGTTTTTGCATAGGAGCATCTTGCCTAAACAGTGTTATTTGTTTTCACTGTAAATATGTAGAGTGGCAGTAACTTTGTGTGAAAGCATTCATACATGATAAATATTTAATTAAAATAGAGCAGGACAGGAGATGAGGGTGTGGGTACACACCCACCACATGAATGCAGACTAGATTGAAGTTGTGCAGTTTACTAAGATGCATATAAGTCATTCATGGCTATATACTTTATTGCCTTTAGATGATTTTGATCCTTCTTAGTGATAACAAATAAGAATAGCTACATTTGTGTAGTTATTTCACCTTTGTGCAGTGTGGATGTGTAGATGTACTTTGCATAGTGAGTGGGACTTTTTCTTTTGTACAGGACCTCAATAACCTACACTTTAAAGTTATATCAAAGAGGTGCCGAAATGATTGTTGACAGTGTTGATGTTATCGCTCAGATGTCTCTCTTATCTAATCCAATGTCGTTTGCCAAGAAATGGAAGTTTAAAAAGTTACTACTACTTCCCTATGAGAGTGTACAGCAACAACTTTGGGTGTGGATCCCCCCTCTCTCCTCCCCCTTCTTTTTTTCTCTCCCTCCCTTTTTGTTTGCTGTCTCCTCACAGTGGCACACCCTTTAGTGCCAGTGAAAAAAAGGAAAACCATCCACGCTACAGACAGT